TCATTTGAAAAAAAATTTTATTTCCTACTTTTATTGACACTTGGCTGCTCTTTTAGAGTAAAAACTAACAGTCCATTTAAAATCATACTCAAAGATATCCAACTTTCTCAATCTCCACCTCTCCTCAATTAGGTATCACCCTTAATTATGTTACGTAGTAACTTTGTTTTATTATCAATTGAGCCCAATAGTTACTTATTATCCAGTAATTCATTTGTAAGGCTCACTAACATAGTATACCATTGCTTTCTATACTCTAGCACAAAACACATAAGCATCATTGATTAGATTTTTTATATTACTGCTTCTCCGATTGTCAATTAATGTGTAATTATTTAACCTAACCCTAAAATATATCCATATGTTGCTGTCACAAAAAGATTTTCTCACATGGCCGACCTTACGTTGAAAAGATGCCACCTCATTCTGCAAAGACTGGCGGATAAAAAAATGCCTCTAGAAGCTGTTTGCTATGGGGATCAGAAGTGTCAGAGCATATGGCAGCAACGGGACATGAAATCAAACGGTCTAGGACTCTTCAAATTGCAGATAATTGTATGCCCCTAGTAAGAACCCGTCTTCTAAATTGATGCAAGGACAGACAGTTTAATCGCATACAATAACATGATTAGCCCTCCGCATGTCATCGAGGTAAGTTGTGATATGGCGACCGGAGAAGGGAAAGATTGGTCCTCTGAACGAAAGCGAAACTGCTCTTGTGGTTATGGGACAAGGCATATGAGTCTGGGTGCGTGTTTTGGCAGGATAGGATGAGCAAACCAAGGGAAAAGGAATAAATCGTCAGGTACCACCTGCAACATGGACTGGAACATCTCCAACAGGGCCTTAGCAACGAATAGGTAAGCCGCCACCTCCTCGCTTGGCAGAGCCCCGAGGGCGGGCACCAGAATGAAAATGTTGTAGAAGAGCATGCCGAGTAGGCCGATAAGTAGGAGGTTGTCGTCGAAGGCGCCCTCCTCTGAGAGGTCGCAGAACTTGAGTATCCGAAGCCGGAGTGTGGCGGCGAAGCAGGTGAATGTGCTGACGCCAAGAAGCACGAGTTCCGTGCACTGATAGAGCGTGATGGCGAGACGACGCTCTCGGCGACGTGCGTAGAAGATGAGGAAAAGCGAGGTGGTGACCAGCGTGGCCATGAAGAGGAGGAGGCCGACGAAGAGACCTTTGTGAGACCTGTGGCACTCGGAGAAGCCTTTGGTCAGGCTGTTGGCTCGTCGCGACCGTTCAAGGCGTTCGGACTCCTTTTTCACGTGTCCCACCTTCTGGAACATCTTGTAGAAGATGGCGCATGTGATGAGGCTATATTCGATGGCACAGGGAAAAAGAAAAGGCGCCAGACTAGTGGCCAGTGTCGGCGAACTCGATACCGCTGGAGGACGGCGTCGTGACAACAGCCATGGGGAGAAGGGGAGGGAGAGAGGAGGGCAAGTAAAGCAAAGATTTGGCACAGCTCTGCATGGCAATGAGCCAATTAGTATTATGAGATGTATTCACCCTATTTCGTGTAAGGTGATGAAGGACTGGTAGTAGAATTTTCCCACAA